AAATGGTCTATGCTAACTGTTTAGGGGTTAGGGCCTGGAGCTTAGGATCTAGCCTCCGGGGTGTAGAGCTTAGGCGATTTGTTGTGCTGTATCAGCAGCATCCATTTAGGGCTGACGGGGCTCTGTATAGGGGTTTAGGGCCTTTTTAGGGTTTCTGGTTTAGAGCTTGGAGTTTAGGATTTTTACCATTTTGTAGAGTTTAGGAGATTTGTTGTATCATCCTTCGGGGTAGAACAAAAAGCTACAAGGGTTCTAGCATAATGGTTGCTATTCGTTTCGGGTTTGAACTGTAGACTCCAGTAGGTTTGTTTAATCATCCTGGTATACGGCTCAGGGTCGCTATCATCGTGGGGACTTTTGGGAATGGCCGTAAGGGTTCAAACCCCTAAACCCTAAACCCTAAACTCTAGTTCGTACTTGGTAAGATTTCGAGCTTTCGGACTCTAGGGCTTTCGAGCTGTCGGTCTTCTGGGTGTCTTTTGCTCTTGCGCTGATCAGGGTCTTGGACCCCAAATGTTAGTTTTGAGGGCTGTAAAGCTTTGGGGCAGTCGGGTTTAGTCCATCTTTCTCGGCTTTGCGGCTGGCATTAGGGTTTTGGGCCTCTGGGGTGCAGGGTTTAGGTTTAGCGTGTCAGTTCTAGGGTTTGGTGTGAGTTTTGCATCTTTCCCGTCCCTATACGTTTTTTGAGCCGAGGCTCCTCCCCTCGCGTCCGAGTTTCAGAGTCTAGCAGGCTTCAGGACGCTTCGCGCTTTTGGCATAATTACACATTTTTCCTTAGAAACCTAGTCAAGCTACCAGTCAGCAGCCTTCCTTCGTAGTAAAGGATCCTTAATGATTAGAAGAGGGCTTTGGGGGATGCATGACTCCTAAACTACAACATCATAACAGTAAGCTTAAAGAATAAGATCATGTACTAACCATTCGGATGCTCGGAGACTTCTCCTTTGGCCTCGGCTGTGGTTTCCCCCGCACATCCTTGGACGCTGCGAGGCTGTCGGTCACCAAAAGATCTTCAGGCCATCCCTTTAAACCGTTAATCCTAATCTTTTGAATCCTAAACCCCAAACCCTACATCCTAATCATTTTAGTGATACTAAAACCATCAATCTAGATACTTGATTTGATCGTCCCCCGCAACCCAATTCCAAGTATGTATGCCCCTTTGCCCAAAAGCCCTAAATCCCTTAAGAGCTTGCGCGGTCATCCCCTCAAACCATACTCTTTAAGTCCATAGTCCATCTACCTGCACTAACTAGGCTCCAAAGTAGTACCCTGCCCTTTTTTGGGTTTGGGGTCTCCTTATCAAAGCCAAGTAGTAGGAACAAGGGCACCCTTATTATAAGATATTAGGAAGGGGTTACTGGAGAACCTAGTATATGGGGTTTTCCTATGTATAGGTACTTTAGGATCTAAGAACACGATATATCGAGGTACCAGCTTGTCACCCCGCCTGACTTCCCCGAAACCTAACCGTAAAGACTTCCAAAACCGTTATGGAGCAGCCTTTATAGCCTTCTAGGTCCCCTTAAGGAACCCCATGAAAGCACCTTGTTCTAACAATTACAGGCTCCGAAAAAAAGGGGCCGCAGCCCTAGGCTCCAACGGCAGCTCCTCGCGCGGAGTCGCCGGGCGCCGGCCAAGGAGGAGCGACTTCGTAGGTCGTAGGAGCCCTTAACCCTCCAGGTGCCTACTATATAGGGCCCTAGGGACTCTAGTACCCTCAAAAAGTAGGTACCTGGAGGGTTAGGGGAAGTTGAATTTTGTGTTTAGGTTTTCTGGGTTTGTAGGTTCGCACTTGGGCTTGATAACGGATTACACGCGCAGCCTGCTTTTACATACATGTTTGGTTTCAGACTCTTACAGTGTTTCGTAAGTCACTTACAATGTTACAAGGGTAAGGTGTATACTAGATACATTAAACCCTAAGTATAGAGCATATGGGTTTTCGGCTTGTGGGTTCAGGCTCTGAGGGATTTTGGTTTTTAGATTTCTATCACAACTCCCCACTGGGTCCAATTTAGATGCTTGGCGTGCCAAGGTAATAACTGTGTGTAACTGTTTGGGGTTTATATGCTCGGACCCGAAACTGGGCAACAGACCGCTAGTCCACAGCGATACCCACACCTTTGTGTATGTCTAAAGTTACAGGGCTATTCCTGCAGCAACGGGCGTCTAAGTCTCCGGACTTGACATATGGAGGCCCTTCAACCCTAAACCTGAATCATGCCTGAAAGTCTCGATGAACATGCAACCCTACTACTATAGGGGCCTTGATAATTACCTATAATAGTTTGGGGTTCCTTAGTGTAATTATAGCATAATGGGCCCCCAACCCCGCTTCTAATTATTAAGGCCCCTACATTACACCCTCATCCCCAGAAAGTCTCAAGCCTCATATGCCTCAACGAGACCCTAAACCCTAACACCCCGAGCCCTGATGGTGAGGCAGTTGGGGCATCGGTTTCGGGCCTGAGGGAACTGGAACTCATGCACGAAGTACGGCTTGTTATGGTTGGATTGTGCTGGCAGCTGGCATGTCATTATCACTAAAGACTATTCAAAAGATTAAACCTTCATACGGGTATACTGTCGTTGCTGTAGTAGTAGTAGTAGTAGTAGTAGTAGTAGTAGTAGTAGTAGTGTTGTTATTAAATGTGGCTCGCTGGAGTCTTTCTGGCTGCAGTCGTAACCCATAGCTACAACCCTCCGCGCTGTGAAAGGCACCGACGAGGGCGATGCCGGCAAACCGGCCAAGGAGGTGCTCGCTTGCGCTACGGCTTAGGGCTTCAAGTCGAGAGTCTCGGGTTAGGGTCTAATGGTTTGGAGTTTAGGGGTTTAGGGTTTAGGGGTTTAGGGTTTGGTTTAGGGTTTAGGGTTGAGGGCTTGGTTTGCAAGTGAAGTATCCCAGGCCAGGGTAAAGGTGGCATAACTAGCTGGTGCCATAAGTTGCTACAAGTCCCTGCAGCTACGGTCATCTTAGATGGAACTCAACTTTAGATGACCGACTAACTGCGCCACTCTGGTCCTTTAAGTAGGGTTCTGAGTTTAAGTGTAGTGTTTACCTGGACCCCTCAAGTATGTAGAATAATGGCCTATTATAGGTGTTGGACCATCATTTTACCTACTTTGTTGGTTTTAGTGTTGGTTTTCTGGCTTCTGGTCCATCCGGCGTCTAGGAACCCCACATTTTCTCTTTGCAGATAACTTGGGATACTGTGGTTCCAAACAGCAGCTCGGAGTTGTCTTCCACCAAGAGTTCTTTGGAAGGGGAAGGGTTTTCATCGTTGTAACTTTCACCAAGGGTTCTTTGGAAGGGTTTTCATCGTTGTAAGGAGTCCTGTTCTAATTCTTACGGCCCTATATCAGACCCTTATAGTAACCCTTAATAGAAACCCTTATAGACCCTTTCAAGGAGCCCTATTCTAATTGTTAAGGCCCCTATATTAAACAGATCCATGGGAGCAGCTGGCCCCGAAACCCTGAAAACTCGAGGGTTCACGGCGTTTGCTGTCTTGCTTAGGCGATGTAAGATACTAAGGGCACAAGGGCCTTAGCAAAAGGAGTCTTAATTGTGAGAATAGGGTTTGGGGTATGTCATACTATAATTATTATGAGGAGCCCCCCAAAACCCCATTCTAAGTACTAAGGCCCCTACACTACTGATGCTTCAGCCGTCCACGGATCCTCCAGCGTCGCAGGACGCATATTAGGCCTGGCATCCGCACAGGCGATTGCGAGCTTTTCCTGCACTACTTCTATTGCACCCCGCCGAACCTAGCCGTCGCCTGCGATCTCTGTGCCTTTTCTGCGCATGTCCGTCTCCTAGGCATCGGCGCCATCTGCGGAAAGCAGACGTGCTCTGCAGATCCTGCAGGTCGAAGCTGTGTAGACATGCCTCCGAGGCAGGTTTGTTTCTTTGAGCTTTACACTTGGTAATCCGTTTTGTTGCTGCGAGCTGACAGATGTCCGGAGCGGTTTGGGAGCGCAACCGGGTGTTCGAAGTGATCTGTTTGGCCTCGTGCAAGGCCGGTTCTCGTTCGAGCCCGCTGTGCGTAAGGCCGACTTGAAGAATGGCTGCAAAAACGTAGCGGATGTGCAGGCAGGCAGTGTGGTGTTGCACGCTGCAGCTTGGCCTGCAACCTCCCTTGCAGATTACGAGCACCTCTTGCAGAGTCCCGCGATGCAGTCCTTTGGCTGCACGGCCATGGTGATGCAGCCCTAAACCCTAAACCCTATAGCAGCGGGTTTTTGGATGCATCAAAAACCCTAAACCCCAAACCCTAAACCCAAGTTGGAGGATCCAGTTGCAGAGGTGCAGCAGCTCTGCACTGCAGGCCAAGATTCATTGAGCTGCGTGTCTGAATCTGGGCCTCGCGATCGCTCTAAAGACCAAAGTATGTCTAGGGTTTAAGGTTTAGGGCGAGAGGATAGCCAGCTGTTGGTGTAACATCGTTGAACACTTGATTAGCTGGTCGCCTCAAGGATCATCGAAAAGCGTACCTTGCTCAGAGACCCTGACCCAAGTTCCAATCCTGAAGCCTACATTTTAAAAGCCCGAAAGCCCCACACCAGGCAAACCCTAAACCCAGAATAACTATTCTTAATCTCATGAACCCTGAGCCCTCCTGCAAACCCCCCTACGACCTTTCTAAGAATATCTACCCTAAGTGCTAACTCTCCACTACACCCTTAGGCTTAAACCCTAAGCAATAAACTTGAAAGCCCGAACGCCCCAAAACACTCAAGCTCTGCGCTAAAGCCGTTCATGTAAACAATAATTAATAGCCTTGTCAGGACATCATTGCTTACCAACTATTCGAACCCTACGTCCTTGGCCCTACAAGCCTTATAGACCCTACAAGTAAGCCCTAGCAACCCTATAAGTCTTATGAGCCCTATGAACCCTACATCAGGCAGAGGGACCACCGAAGGAAGCTCCGACCTCACCCACCAAAGCGACCACTCGCAAGGCCTCCGAAGCTTTTAGGCCAATATAGGGGCCTGAAGAATTTCCTATACCATTTGGGGTGGTTTCCTCATTATAACTATAGTATATCAAATACTCCAAAACCCTATTCTAATTATTAAGGCCCCTGCATTACAGGGGGCTTCTGGCTCGAGGGTTTGGGACTTGAGGCGTTTGGGGTTCAGGCTTTCGGGTGTTGGGGCTTCGGTTTACAAAATTTTAGGGTTCTGGTTTGGGACTTGAGGCTTTTCAGGTTCCAGTTGTTCAGGGCTTCGGTCCGAATTAGGGTTTCGGGTCGGGTTTAGTAGGGCTTTGGAGTTTCGAGTTGAGGTTTGGGGGATTTTTGGCCCATGCGGCTTTGGGATCTCGGCTTAGCAGCGCTTAGCCGGCGGCGAAACGGTAAACGCTTTCAAGGTTTCAGGGGATTCGGGTTTTGGGGTAGCATGATGATGAAGATGATAAGGATGATGATGGTGATGCTGGTGATGACGCTGATGAGTAGGGGTAGGAGGACGATGCCGACGACGAGCGCCAGGACCACGACCGCCACAGTGGGTGATGATGATGTTCACGGTGGTGCGGATGATGGTGGTGATGACTACGACGAGGAGGGTCACGATGATGACGACGACGATCGCTGCGGCGTTTGCTGGTTTACTCATGTGCTTGTGTGTGTGAGTGTCTCTGCGCGCGTAAGGTTTGTTACTTGCGCCTTCGATTTGATGTTTCTTTCGTTCCGCACCTTGTGCCTGAATGCTGGATGCCAGCAGATTGTAACCCTAAACCCTAAACCCTAAACCCTAAACCCGTGAATCTTCGCAGTCCCTTCCGTCCTCCTGGCCAGGCAAGGGCGAAGAGCAGGACGCGGAAGAAAGAGCCTCCACCTGACCCAGGTAGGAGAGACTGGAGAGTGCTGGGTCTTAGGGTTCTAGGGCTTTAGGGGTTTAGGGTTTAGGATTTAGGGTTTAGGGTTTTATGGTTTAGGGTGTAGGGTTTGGGGTTTGGGCTTTAGGGTTTACTGTAGGGTTGAGGGTTTAGGGTTGAGGGTAGTCTTGGCATT